TCCTCTGCCGGAGCCTCCACCTATCATGTCTGCCTGCCAGCCCTTTGCCTTCCCCTGTCTCCATCCCACATCCACTCCTTTGTCCTCCTCCTAAGTCCCCCTCCATCCCTCCCTCTGTCTCCACGGCGCAAGGATGCGCCTTCCGGGAGGGGGGCGATCTGTCACACCCCTGTGGACTGTTGAGTGTAGTTTCTCCCTCTGTGTCCTTATTTGGTTGTTCCTGTTCTCATTATCAGTTAATCACCTTATTGTGCTCACCTGTCTGCCCCTCGTTATCTGCCCTTTATCAGTTACTGTCTCTGGTATTCGAGTTTGTCAGTTATTGTGAATGTTACCCTGTGTGTTGATGTCTACCCTGTCTGGATCTCCTGTTGTCATATCATTAAATATCCTTTTATTCGTCATCTTCGTCGTCCTGCCTGGTCTCTGGAACACCGTGCCCGTGACATCGTGAGAGTGGTCCCTTTAAATTTCTATAGCCCAATGTTCCAAGCTAATTCACTAATGAAGTCGATTGTGAAGACAAGTGCTGCTGTATCTTGGCAGTGCTTTTGCATATTAAAGTGACCTGGGACCATGCCATGAGGGCCGCTTTCTCCTTTTTCACCAAAATAGTGCCTTCTTAGAAACAGCGTAACATATTGTCACTGACTTGAGAGCCGGACAGTAACATAACTGGCTACATAACCTCCTAACCAAGAGCGCTGGGGTGGAGCGATAGGATGATTTTAAGGGCTGGAACAGACGGGGCCCAAACACGGGTGTAGGAGCGCATATTGACCCAATGGAGGTTGTCTGCACATCTCACCCCATCCTCGGCCGTTCCAGTGGATCTATAAGGGGTGCAGAGGGGCCAAGAGCAATATACAGTCACAAGGCCCGTAATTCCTACTGACACCCCTATTGCCAACAAACAAACATAGCATGCAGTCTTTGTTTACAAGTCTTATGAATTTTGAGAACATGTTTAAGCATCCAAGTCGTTTCATTACATTTATATATATTGTCTTGGGATAAAATGGACAGAAATCTTTCATTTCTTTGGTGTTCAGTGTTCCAGTTATTCAGTCTTTAAACGTGAAATAGTTGTCACCCAGTGGTGCAACCAAATTTGGTGCAACTCATTTTGGTTGCTTTGGTTAATGAGCAATTATTTGGTCTAAATCAGAGTGAACTTTACAGTATTGATTGTAAATATTAAAAGGGCATCATACCACAAAGGAAGGACATTTCAGAAGACCCTTGTCAAATAGTCATTGCAAATAAGGTTGCAAAACCACTTTGAAGGCTCTACTGCTTCTGCAAACTACAATTAACTAAAAGTGGAACTTCTTGTTACACCTGTGTTCTGGTATGTTTGGCAAAAAAACAAACACTGCGTTTCATAAGGACAGCAGTGAAGCATGTTGGTGACGGTCTGGCTATGCTTCTTCAGGAGAAGCTGAAGTCTAGTTCTGGTTTTGTGGCAGTCTTTCCTAATTGAATTGTTATTGCCCTGAAAACTGTAGCAGTTACCTAGTATGAGGCAAGCAGGTTTAAGGAGCCAGTGGAAACATATGTAACGGATGCCGGTCAGTGGCGCCTGTGAACTTTTGGCACTGTAGTTGCCTCTGGTCAATAGCTGTAAATAACTGGCTCATTTAAAAACGTTTGCTGCTTGCAGCTTAATTTCATATGGTATAACACTTGTATCATCGGCTCCAATCTGTGTTTTAATTGTTTGCCATCATTTCTGATCCGGCAGAGGTTTGATATGCTAAGTATTGCTCTGTGTCTGTTGTGCAGAAAGTGTGCAGCCTTATTTCATTAGACGTTTTATTTAAATGTGGAGAAGTGCAGTCAGTTCACATAGATTGCATATACATACAGAACCAGTCATTTATGTCTAGCTCTGTTTATTTCTCATCTTGCTGAAATACTCTGCCTCCATCATCATTTATCTGGGTTTCTATAGGGTTTCCCAGAGTGAGTGGAGACCGAGTGCTATGAATAGAGAGGGAGAATGAAATAGCCTGCTGTAATGTGAGGGTGAAATGAATTGTGAAATAAAATGAATGAATTTTAAATATGTTGATTGTTTATTTTGTGGGTAGGTACATCTCATCTGCCTGTTAATGGTGTGATTCAGCTTGAGTAAGTGGATGGGAACTTCTAAAAGGGTCATTTATTTACCGAGACAAGAGACACTGCTGTGAGCCTGTCTGCCAGTTCTGACTAACTCGACTTGTTTCTTATTTCAGTATTTATTCATGTTTTTCAGTTTTAAATAATATTTTGTGTGATCCTTCTTTACATAAAGGGAGTATTTGAGCTTTTCTGACGCCTCCTGACACTTGACTAATGTTACAAAGAATGTAGTAGTCTCAGGCTTCAAACATATCACAGCAAGCTAAGGTAAATGGCTACTATTGGGATTGTTAGTTTCCTAGCAACGATCTTTTCCATGACTGACAGAAGCTCCAACCTTCAGGACCGAGTCCAGCCGAGTGTTTGCATTTAACGCAGCAGGTCAACTGTAATCTTTGTCAAAAACCCATCAAAGCATCTTCTCAGCTGTTAATATGAGACAGAATTGAAGTGTGTGAGCGTGAAGTGCCGGGTTAGTGGCATGTGTCAAGTTACAGACCCACTTTAAATGCCTGTTAATGTTGTAACCTCTGATGGTCATGCTGTACTGTCACATGATTACAACTGCCCAGCTTTAATCAAACACTCTTCCTGCTGTACAAAAGAAGAGGAGGTGTGTGAGGAACAGATCTAAAGTTAAATCGTCCCATGCACTACCTTTCAAAAATCTCTTCTGCTCACCAAGACTGCAAATATTTCATAAAATTACAGTACAAACAGTAATATTGTGAAATATTATTACAGTCAAGTAGTACAGTATAAATTGCACCAGGCAAATAGCTGACTTTTGTAAATAAGGTGCTATCTATAATAAGATACTGTAGTTAGTAATGTAATTGGTAACACTTTAGTAGAATTTTATAGAACATATTAATACCTTATTCTGCATGATCATATTCTACATCCCCTAATCCTACCCAATAGCTAAACTTAACAACTACCTTACTAACTATTAATAAGCAGCAAACTAGGGAGTTTATTGTGGCAGAAGTCATAGTTAATAGTCGGTTAATAGTGAGAATTGGACCTTAAAATAAAGTGTGATCATGTAATCTGTCAGATTATTCCGTTTATGTAATGTATTCCTGACTAGCTTTTGATTACTTTTGGCCTAACTTGCTTATAACAGATTTGAATGTGATTGTTGTGTACCATATGAGCAAATTCAAACGAAATATAATCTAATTACAAGTACTAAAGTTTTGGGATCTGATAACATAATCTAGATTACTACTGAGCACTGAGGACATTTACATTTAGTCACTTATTGATTGGACAGGTGCCTGTTTATTTATAAAAAAAACAAGTGGAAATGCCCACCGAGATACCTTTGAGATGAATAGCATCACCATCACTTTGTTTTTTAGGAGCTCTGCCATGCATACATGAGCGAGCAGTAATAGATGCATGCATGGATGCAGTGACTGTAAAACACTAACTACCATAAACACTCACTAGCAGGAATAGTACATTGGATTTATATCTGTTGTATAGAGAAACATTTATGTGATCTTGTATAAACTGGAGTGTGCATACCGATGTCAATGCGATCGATCAAGATGCATGAATTGTCTTAAATTTTTTTGCTGTCATGCAAAAGAAACGATTTTTAACAAATGGCATTTAGATGAAATCTATTGATTTTTCCTGCTTTTTATTTTCACAAATGTCAGGTGGCCACATTTGACACAGGTGTGCATTATGTGTCAGTGGTCAGTGTGTTTGTGCAGTGATGTTGAATGACTGCGGACTCTCCCACACATCAGTCTCTTACAGAAATGAGTTTCCACAGCTCAAACCTGTTCAGACTCTCACTACAGACACTTCATGCATTGTCAGGGCTGTGGGAGAGTTGTCATGCATGAAGGTTGATGGGATATATGTGTGTGTGTTGTAGTGATGGAGATGAGCTGAAGAAGTCTCTGTCTGAGCTGGCGGATAAGAACCATCACTCTCACACTAAGAGCATCAGTCGCATCAGCAGCAGCAGTAACCCGTTCCTGGACATTGCCCATGACCCCAACGCTGCTGTCTACAAAACTGGCTTCCTGGCCCGCAAAATCCACGCTGACATGGACGGGAAGAAAAGTAAGATTTAATCCAGAGTATATTTGAAACATCTACAATACAACACCTGCTCGTTTTGAGGGTAAAGTGTACATGATCCAGCAGCCACGCAGCACGATTTTGAAACGGTAATAAAAAAATAAAAATACTGTGAAAAGTGTATTGTTTAAATTGATTTTTCTAACTAAAATACCATGATTTAAACATTTTTTTAATTCAAATTGAGAACAATTGAACAGTTTTCAACTAAAGACTTCTTTTTAGCAGGACAAGGTCATTCAAATGACTTTTATTTCTAGATTTTAGGAAGCATTCTAGTTTATTAATTATTTGTGTAATTAAATGTCTTTTTCATAAGCACTTTATGACTCTTCATAACCTAAGCTTCTGGGTGTGCAGGGAATGATGGGAAAGAACATTAAATAAATGCTGTGTAATGTGAACAAGGATAAAGCAGGTGTGATTCAGTGCTTTGGCAAGCACACATGGTGAAATGGGATTTTGGCTGTAGTCTCTCATATATTATGTCCACTTATTTTTCCTCCCTAATGAGATACTAGAGTCACTAGAAATCCGCTGAGCTGTTGTGTCTGTTTGAAGAGACGCACCGATTACAGCTCGTCCTGCAGAAGAATCTCAAAGACTGACAGTTGATATGATCAAAACTGATATATTAGGAAAGTTTAAAAGGATGCTTTCACAAACTATACATAGTTCTGTTTTTGTGTTATAAACACTACCATGCAAAAGTTTTGGGTCAGTGAGATATTGAAAGAAATTAATACTTTTATTCAGCAAGGATGCATTAAATTGCTCAAAAGTGGCAGTAAAGACATATGTAATGTTATAATTTTTATATATAATAATAATAATATAATAATAATCTTTAAAAAATGTATCACAATTTCCACAAAAATATGAAGCAGCAAATGTTTTCAACATTGTTCAGAAATGTTTCTTGAGCAGCACATCAGCATATCAGAATGATTTCTGAAGGATCATGTGACACTGAAGACTGGAGTAATGATGCTGAAAATTCAGCTTTGATCACAGAAATAACAGGAATAAAATACATAGAAAACCAGATATTTTAAGTTGTTTTATTCCATGGTCTGTCTGAATACTGGATTCTGATTGGCTGGCAGGTATGCATTAGAACCGTTTAATGCACAGGTAGTTCCAAGTCAGTTTAATCACCGTTATATATTAATGCGCTGCTTTCATTGATGCACACACACACACACACACACACACAGCTCGCACATAAACACAGTGAGAGGGAGAGAGGTTGGAGATCGCAGATCGTGCTGCACACACACCGAAACTTGTTGTCGGTGCTGCCCCGCGACTTTAATGAATAAAATAGTATAGATACTAGATCACTTCATTATCTTCCTCAGCAACGAGCTAAAATCGAAGTAACTAAACGGCTTCATTGTTTGTAGAGAGATGAGCAGACACAGGTAACTCACACACACAACTGTCATCTCTCTCTCTCTCGATAGATCGATCGATAATTCATTCAAATAAATGCTATAATTCATTCAAATAAATGCTATAATTCATTCAAATAAATGTGGTATCTGTATCTGATTTGAAGTGGGCAGAATGCTAGAGCTAACGAGCCATAACTGACGAAAATAACCGTCATTTTTACCCTTCTGGTTAAATACTGCTAACAGCTTTAAGTTGTCAATGCTGGCAAATGACCATGGAATAAGCAGGATAATCAACGGCTTTCCGCTTCTCGTCGGGTGGTTCTTTGCCTCCACGTCGTGCATTTAAAATCCTTTAATGCACGGCAAGCCGTTGATTATCCCTTATATAATATTTTACAATATTACTGTTTGTAACTGTATTTTTGATCAATAAATGCAGCCTTGGTGAGCAAGAGACTTCTTTAAAAAACATTTAAAAAATCTTACTGACTGCAGACTTTTGAACCGTTGTTTGAACACATCTAACAGGGTAAACTGAAGTGGTTACCTTCTACCTTCCCCTGCTTTGTGATTTTGTGATTTACTATCCAGCTGTGGCAGCATGAGTTTAGTAGACATGCCACACTGAGTCTCCACTACCAGCCGTGCCAGTGCGGTCTAATGAGCGTGTCCATGGGTGTATTACAGTCGGGATAAAAACAGCAGGGCTTTAGTGATCTGCTGCATCACATGCTGAGAGCATTCAGGCCAGGGTCCCAGAGGAGCCATCAGCGCACTACTGAGAACTCAGTCTGTGTGGGGTGTGAAGGATTCGGATGCTTCCCAGAGCTCCTATAGCACAGCCGTAAATAAAGCTGTTCTACAGAGACGCTATCAAGGGATTCATTTGACAGGAGAAATGTAAGTAATGCCCTTCAGAGGTGGAACAGACTGCTGAAATGATTGACGCTTTTTAACACGTACTGTCATTCCAAACGGAATGAATTTCAGACTTCAGTGGGAATCAAATGGAGATGTTTAGCAGGATGCTCATGTTGCTGTATCCCATACTGTGAAAGTGAAAGGGGACAGATGCTGGTGAGCTCCATAAAGCACTACAAAAGTAGTCCATGCTACATTTATGTGTGTGTTGATACCATAGACTGTATAAAAACATGGACGTAGTGTCCGTGATGTCACCCGTAGATTTCCGAAGAGTGTTTTTGAAGCTCAAAAGTGGGCGGAGGCGGCTGTCCCGGATAATCGAAAATGGGCAAAGAGGCGGGAGCAGGTTGCTGAAACCACGCCCACCTAGCTCGACGGTGGTGACAGCAGCGGCAATCCACCTGTCACTCAAGTGGCCAAGCCCTTAATTATGCAGAACTTTAAGGCTTAATATAATTTAAACGGATGAGTTATAAAAAAATTCACCCCCCTCACAGTTGTCATGAAGGGCAAAATTAGCTATATAGACCAAAATCATTGTTTGAACCAGGCTGTAAACATATTTTTTTCTGCTGTAAAGTTGGGCATTTTAACATGGGGGGTCTATGGGATTGACTCCCTTTTGCAGCCAGCCTCTAGCGGCCAGTTGATGAATTACAGTTTAAGTCACTTCCTTGTTGGCTTCACTAGAGAGAGCGGGAGGTTGCCGCTTGGTTGATACCGATTGTGGCTAGTATGAGATTTGACAGCTACAGTGATTAATAGTGAATTGCATCTTAAATTTGGGTATGCTCCTCACACAAAGCCTTCAGAAGACTTGGAATAAGTTATGATGCCTGTAATATGTTTTTATTTGTCCTTTTAACAGTCTTGGTCACTATGAACTGTTATTGAATGGAAAAGAGTAACATATGATAATTGCGAATAAATGATTGTATTGTATTTATTTTATTTGTATTCTCTAGCACCGAGAGGGAAACGCGGCTGGAAAACCTTCTATGCTGTTCTGAAAGGCATGATCCTCTATTTGCAGAAGGTTTGTTTATTCTCTCTTTCATTTTCCTCTCTCGCACTGCTGATTAATCAAATTTCCATCATTTCCCACAAACATCAATAATAATTCAGTTTCTCCTCCAGGAGGTTCAGATGTGAGACGTAATCACATTCACGCATTTATTTCAGGTCTGGCAAACCTTTTCAGAGCCCATCAAAGAAAGAAGCGTTTCAGCATTACAATAGTTTATTTATGTGCTCCATTTGAACTTGCGTTAGTTGCTTGGCTGTGCAGTCATGCAAAAGTCACAGGCATGAAATATTGGCGCAGAAGCAGGCCGTACCTGTGCATATATTTTTGTGCTGGTGACTGATTGTTTCCGTGGCATTAGAGCTAATGATGTGCCATTTACCCTTGTGCTGCAATCACACCGAACGACTCTCATCAGAGAAATGTGCTGGATAGCATTCTCATTCTCATTCTCATTTCACACAGACATTTTACTTTGGAGGAAAAGAACACACTCAAGTGCAAACTTGTTTTCTGACTCTTAATTGCATGTTAATTGCAATTAAATGAAAATGTATTGTAGTTTAAATATTAAAATTGTCTGAACTTCAGAGTGCTTTTTGAACCATGTAAATACTTTAAATCATCATAGTGCAAAAGTACACAAATTAGGACACGCCTTTAGATTTAAAATGTACTCTAAGGTAAAATATTTCATATAAAATTGTTACAAAGTGCATTTTTTAAGTGTTCTTAAATATAAGAAACAGTCCCGAAAGTATAATTTCTTTACGTTCACTTAAGAAGCTCCACTACAGTCAGGTTATATACTGTAGCTTGTTCACTCAAATACACAATTAACAGGCTCGGCTTGGTGGTGTTTGGCATCCACATACCATAAAGTAACAGTATTTGATTCTAATTCAACACAGTGATGCAATAATGCAGTGATCTCATTGATGATATAAAAACCAATAATAAACATCACAACTTTCTATTGTGTTGTCTCTGCAAAAGGCATGACATTTTCAGATGTGATAAAAGAATCTGTAGGTATCTGAACCAGATTTGTGACCCTGGACCACAAAACAAGTCATAAGGGTCAATTTTTTTAAATTGAGGTTTATAGATCATCTGAAAGCTGAATAAATAAGCTTTCCATTGATGTATGGTTTGTTAGGATCGGACAATATTTGGTCGAGATACAACTATTTGAGAATCTGGAATCTGAGGGTGCAAAAAAATCAAAATATTGAGAAAATCATCTTTAAAGTTGTCCAAATTAAGTTCTTAGCAATGCATATTACTAATCAAAAATTAAGTTTTAATATATTTACAGTAGGAAATGTACAAAATATCTTCATGGAACATGATCTTTACTTAATATCCTAATGATTTTTGGCATAAAAGAAAAATCGATAATTTTGACCCATACAATATATTGTTGGCTATTGCTACAAATATACCCCAGCGACTTAAGACTGCTTTTGTGCTCCAGGGTCACATATGTTAAACTCCTTGGATTCCCAGCCCTGTCCGTGTTCATGATTTGTCCTGTGTGTGCTTGCTCCTGCAGGATGAGTATAAGCCGGAGAAGGCCCTGTCAGAGGACGACCTGAAGAACGCCATCAGCGTGCATCATGCTCTCGCCATCAAGGCGATGGACTACGAGAAGAAGCCCAATGTTCTCAAACTCAAGACTGCTGACTGGAGAGTGTTCCTCTTCCAGGCCCAGTAAGAGCTGCTCACAGACACCAGCACTTTCAGAAACAGACCTGAAACTCTGAACTCCAAATCTAATTTCATGCTTCAGTTCAGGCTCAATTAAACCTCGTTTATCTCTTCCGTTGGTCTGCCTGCAGGCCTTTTATTTCTTCGTAAGGCTGACTGCTCTCATCCTGTGAGTTTGCACGACTGTAGCATGGTCTTCTTCATACAGGGTGTCCGCGGGTCCTTAAAATGTCTTAAATTCGGATTCGATGGGTCTTAAATATTTTTGGTCTCATTACCGCTAAAATATCTCAAGTCTGACGGACCTAATGACTTTACAATCATTGGACAGACCGACGCTAAAATATCTTTATAGTCTATAATAGTCTGACGGACCTAATGACGGACCTAATGACTTTACAATCACTGGACAGACCGAAGATTTTTTCTTCCCCGCGGTAAGTTACTGCGTCATCAGAGAGAATCGCAGTAAGTTAGCAGAATACAGAATACAAGCTCGCGCTGAGGCTCACTCTGTTTGTCTCGAGACTTCAGAACAAATGAGCGTGACCGCACACACAAACTCAGAAGAAACACACTGAGATAAAAATTCAAAATGTTTAGTTTATTCATAACATGATATAGTTAAATAACACCATGACAAGTGAGCTATTTTGCTCAATATTCTCACGACGCAAAAAAACATTCAAAACACCTACAGAGTGCACGCATTACGTGTGCACGCATTACGTGAAGTCTAGTGCGCTCTTTCACTGCATGATTCAGTCCATTAAAATACGTTCAGAATGATCACAAATTCAAAACATGGGGGCAGAAAATTTGTATATTTATACCACTTCATATAGTTAATCAAGTTTTTCTCCAAAAATTACCATATACAAATGTGATATTGATTTTTTACAACAGTTCAATAAACTAGAAGTATTATTAAGAGACTTTTAGACACCATATTGCCTGTTTTTGCACTATTTCGCCAACAAAAATAATTCCAAACAAAGCCAATGTAATAATTTGACATGTAAGATGATGCATACATCTAAAAAGGTTAAACATAGGCCTTTGTAAAGGTAAATATGCAGATTTAAGTATGTAAAAGCTGATAGAACACTGATGAAAATATTGTTTCAGAATAAATTGTTTACTAAAAATCTCAGTGATGCAGTTATTTTGCAGGGATATTTTGTATGGAATATTGTCTGCTGACATGAAAAGTTCACTGTATATCGTAGTAATAAATACCATTTATTACAGCATTGATATTTTGTTTTCTTTTTAATTTATACACATTAAATATTACATATATGTATGTAATAAAATTTGTATTTCCATTACAGGTTTAGGTCTTAAATTTCATATAAGGTGGTATTAAAAAGGTCTTAAAAAGTCTTAAATTTAACTTGTTCATGTCTGCAGAAACCCTGTCATATGAACACATGCAATCTCTTCTCTGTAGGAGCCCTGAGGAAATGGAGTCCTGGATCAGAATAATCAACTCGGTGGCGGCCATGTTTTCCGCCCCATCCTTCCCCGCCGCCATCGGCTCTCAGAAGAAATTCAGCCGTCCGCTGCTGCCGGCGACCACCACCCGCATGTCTCAGGTGGGTCTGAAGAGGGGAGTGAAATGCTGCTGATGGCACGTGCTGTGTCTGTCTGAAACCTTTGAATACTGCTGATGTGTCTGATGTGTTACAGGAAGAGCAGCTCAAGTCCCACGAGGCCAAGCTGAAGCACGTCTCTACAGAATTAGCCGAGCACAGATCCTACCCGCCGGATAAGAAGGTCAAAGCCAAAGAGGTCGATGAGTACCGCTTGAAAGAGCACTACCTGGATTTTGAGGTAGACGCCGTTGCCTTTTATGATGCAAGAGACACAATTGTGACCCTGGACCACAAAACCAGTCATAAGGGTCAATTTTTTGAAATTGAGATTTATAGATCATCTGAAAGCTGAATAAATAAGCTTTCCATTGATGTATGCTTTGTTAGGATCGGACAATATTTGGTCGAGATAAAACTATTTGAAAATCTGGAATCTGAGGGTGCAAAAAAATCTAAATATTGAGAAAATCACCTTTAAAGTTGTCCAAATGAAGTTCTTAGCAATGCATATTACTAATCAAAAATTAAGTTTTGATATATTTACGGTAGGAAATTTACAAAATATCTTCATGGAACATGATCTTTACTTAATATCCTAATGATTTTTGGCATAAAAGAAAAATCTATAATTTTGGTCCATACAATGTATTTTTGGCTATTGCTACAAATATACCCCAGCGACTTAAGACTGCTTTTGTGCTCCAGGGTCACAT